GACTACTTAACATCTTTCGAGACCCTGTGTAAATATGTGCTCTGAACTGTTGCCATGCTGTATCCTATACTAATACTCCATTATGTCTGTGGTAGCGAACGGAAGCAGTCCCTTGAGGCAGAGACCAGGTTGGCCAGGACAGGAGGGATAAAAAAAAAAAAAGCAGGTGTCATGCCTAATTCCATGTCTGCTACAGACTCTACATCTTTTTTGGGGTGTCCTTTGGTTGGGGTACCACTGGAATGGCATTGGAAAATGCCTCTCATGCAACCGGCTAACTGCATCTAGGTTGGGGGTTTGGGCCACAGCACCTTCTGGATACAAAAGAGCCGTGATGATCTCTTCCTGGAATTTTAGGAAGGATCCACTTCGCCTAGTTGCTTTGTAAAGCACAAAAGCATTATATAGAGCCAGTTGAAATAAATAAACAGTCACTTTTTTGTACCAGCGTCTGGCTTTACGGGAAACTAAGTATGGCTTTATCATCTGGTCATTGAAGTCCACCCCTCCCATGTTAAGGTTATAGTCATGGACACAGAGGGGCTTCTTAACAACACCAGCTGTTGTGGCAATTTGGATGGCCGCGTCTGCATGAATGGAAGACAAGACAAAACATCCTATTTGTCCTTCCACTTCACTGCAAGCAATTCCTCATTTCTCAAGCAGGCTTTTCCCCCCTTTCTAAAACGGGTATTTACAAGCCGTTGGAGGAAACCCCGGCAATTAGGTTGCATGGTGCCACATGCGTCAATTCCAAGATTGTACAAATGTCTAAATAGTGGCATGCTTGAATAAAAATTGTCCACGTATAAGTGGTACCCATTATGGAAAAAGGATGACACCAAGTCCCAAACTATCTTGCCACTGCTCCCCATGTAGTCTGGGCATCCGGGGGGCTCCACATGACTATCTTTTCCCTCGTAAATCCAAAACGTATATGTATAGCCTGTTGCCCCCTCACAGGTCTTATACATCTTGACCCCATATCTGGCACGCTTGCTGGGGAGAAATAGTTTGAATGTAAGGTGGCCAGGAAAATTAATGAGGGACTCATCAACTCAGCTGTTTTGCTGGGGCGTAAAAAGATCTGCAAATTTTTGGTTAAGGTGATTTACGAGGGGCCGAATTTTGTGGAGCCGGTTAAATTCAGTGTCACCCCGAGGACGACAGAATGTGTTGTTGTTGAAATGCATAAAACGCATTATACTCTCATATCTATGACTGGCCATGGCAACAGAGAACAGAGGCATATGATGAATCGGGTCTGTGGACCAATACAACCGCAATTCATTTTTTTTAGTAATGCCCATGGTAAGGGTTAGGCTCAAAAAAACTTTAAATTCGGAAACCGTAATGAGTTTCCATGCGAATGGTCTGGCAAGGTTTGAATTTGGGTTGGCGGCGATAAACAATCAATCAATCAATGCATACAGTTCTTCTGTGAAAAACAGCTCCAAAAAATAAATTTGCTGTTTCCACCTGAATTCCGGGTTGGACAGTGAATGGGGGGGTGGAGGGGAGTACGGGTGCTTTAGAACTTGTGGGCTGCCAATCGGGATTTGCAAGCACATCCGGAAGGATACTAGGGGCCCTACGGGCCTGTGTGCGAATTTTTGGTGGCTGCGGGACACTACTTGTGATCGCCACCGCACCAGCTTGTACTGCACTTATGGGACTCGCCATGTCACCAAGTGATACTGCAGTGCTGGTATGTATAAGACCAGGATGTACTAGGCCGCTGGTTCTTGCCAGTTCACCAAAAGGTAGAGCAGCAATAGTACTGCCACTCTGCTGCATATGAGAGTCATATGCGATTGTAACATCTCAGCAACCTGGGAACAGGGTCGGGTACGCCTGATCTTAGCAGGGACCTCTTCTCCATCGTCTGTGCTATCTGTCAGGGTGCTGCTACTGTCTACAGGTTCGTATTCTGAGGCCGATTGCGTCAAGGAGTCTTCCCCTTCGCTCTCACCTGACATGCTCAGAATCCTGTAGGCTTCTTCACTAGAGTACATTTCCATTGACATTTTGGCAACTAAATTTAGCAGGTACCAAGTGCAACTTATGGGAAAAAGAGCACCTGGCTGTTAGGGACTGGTTGAACTGCTGCAAAAAAAATTTATTGGCAAGTGCTAACAGATATCAGGCCTGATTCTGCAAACACTGCATTTTTGTGTGTAATGTATCAAGTGACACTGCACTTGCTGGGGGAGAAGGGGGGTAAACACAGGTGCTGGCAGGTGCCTGAGCTGATAACGCTAACGCTAACGCTAACGCTGCATTTTTGGGGACACTATACTAATGTGAATGCTGCTATAGTACTGATCTGATCAAAGATATTGATCCGTTCAGACAATATACTAGCAATAGAGGTTTATTGTGTATGTGAGAGTGTTTCCTGGCAATCAAGTGGTTAAATATTACTGGTGTACTAACGGGCAATCTGACGCTATCTTGGAGGGACGCTAACTGACGCTAACACTGAAGTCGCCTGCGACACTAATACAGTGACCAGCAAAAAATCTGTACACTGTACTAATGACATTGGTGACAGGGCAGTGAAGGGGTTAAATATGTCCTAAAGTGTTCTAACTGTGTAAGTGTGCTGTTTTACTTCCTGTGTGTTGATTCTTTGCTCTCTGGGTCAGAATGTTATCACTTCCTGTACCTGTGTAACTGTAAATATAGGTACAAGAAGATCCCTGATAAGATGGGGATCGATCATCCGACCATCACTGACCTAAATCGGATGATTGATCCCCTGGGGATCAAATCACGGCACCCGTGGATTGGCGAGGGCATGGCGTGCGTCCCCCAGCCCTTACGAAAATCGAGGGAGCACGAATCACATACACATTATTTATATATACATATACACACAGTATCTCACAGAAGTGAGTACACCCCTCACATTTATGTAAATATTTTATTCTATCTTTTCATGTGACAACACTGAAGAAATGACACTTTGCTACAATGTAAAGCAGTGATTGTATAGCCTGTATAACAGTGTAAATTTGCTGTCCACTCAAAATAACTCCACACACAGCCATTAATGTCTAAACCGCTGGCAACAAAAGTGAGTACACCCCTAAGTGAAAATGTCCAAATCAGGCCCAATTAGCCATTTTTTTCCCTCCCCGGTGTCATGTGACTCATTAGTGTTACCAGGTTTCAAGTGTGAATGGGGAGCAAGTGTGTTAAATTTGGTGTTATCGCTCTCACTCTCTTATACTGGTCACTGGAAGTTCAACATGACACCTCATGGCAAAGAACTCTTTGAGGATCTGAGAAAAAAAATTGTTGCTCTACAAAAAGATGGCCTAGGCTATAGGAAGATTGCCAAGACCCTGAAACTGAGCTGCAGCATGGTGGCCAAGAACATACAGTGGTTTAACAGGACAGGTTCCACTCAGAACAGGCCTTGCCATTGTTGGCCAAAGAAGTTGAGTGCACGTGCTCAGAGTCATATCCAGAGGTTGTCTTTGGGAAATAGGCGTATGAGTGCTGCCAGCATTGCTGCAGAGGTTGAAGGGGTGGGGGGTCAGCCTGTCAGTGCTCAGACCATACACTGCACAGTGCATCAAATTGGTCTGCATGGCTGTCATCCCAGAAAGAAGCCTCTTCTAAAGATGATGAACAAGAAAGCCCGCAAACAGTTTGCTGAAGACAAGCAGACTAAGGGCATGGATTACTGGAAACCATATCCTGTGGTCTGATGAGACCAAGATACATTTATTTGGTTCAGATGATGTCAAGCATGTGTGGTGGCAACCAGGTGAGGAGTACAAAGACAAGTGTGTCTTGCCTACAGTCAAGCATGGTGGTGGGAGTGTCATGGTCTGGGGCTACATGAGTGCTGCCGACACTGGGGAGCTACAGTTCATTGAGGGAACCATGAAGGTCAACAATGTACTGTGATATATTGAAGCAGAGCATGATCCCCTCCCTTTGAAGACTGGGCTGCAGGGCAGTATTCCAACATGATAATGACCCCAAACACACCTCCAAGATGAACACTGCCTTGCTAAAGAAGCTAAGGGTAAAGGTGATGGACTGGCCAAACATGTCTCCAGACCTAAATACTATTGAGCATCTGTGGGCATCCTCAAACGGAAGGTGGAGGAGCGCAAGGTCTCTAACATCCACCTGCTCCATGAGGTCGTCATGGAGGAGTGGAAGAGGACTCCAGTGGCAACCTGTGAAGCTCTGGTGAACTCCATGCCCAAGAGGGTTAAGGCAGTACTGGAAAATAATGGTGGCCACACAAAATATTGACATTTTGGGCCCAATTTGGACATTTTCACTTAGAGGTGTACTCACTTCTGTTGCCAGTGATTCAGACATTAATGGCTGTGTATTGAGTTTTTTTGAGGTGACAGCAAACATACACTGTTTATACTCACTTCTGTGAGATTCTGTATATATATATATATATATATATATATATACTGTGACATATATATATTTATATATATTTAAACTGTGACCTTTAAAATATGGCTACAATAACACCACTCTCTCTCCAGAACTCCACAAGTGGGCACATATGTCTTCTCCAAAGATAAAATGAATAGTGCTATCAATTTAAAATGTTTATTAAGATAAAAATGTAAACAATACACTCACCTAAAAGATACACAAGACCTGTGAACAAGGATAAGAACTTATCCACATCTTCCTTGGTATAGTCAGCAGCTCTCACAGCACTTCCTAATTATAAATAACTAGAGTGCTGTGAGAGTTGCTGACTGCACTGAGATTGACAGAGGCAGGCTCTGAATGAGTTTTTTATCCTTGTTCACAGGTCTTGTGTATCTTTTAAGCTGAGTGTATCTTTTATATTTTTAACGTGCAATTCCCGTATGGTGCGTTTTGACAGCCCATTCATTTTAATGCGCTGCAAAATACACCACACCATGGGAAAAGTAGTGCTTGCAAACACGGCGCTCCAAATGGCATGGAACTGGCGCTGTGTTTGTGATCTGCGTTTGGGTGCCAATAACTTTACATTGGCAACTGCAGTTTGATCACCTGAGGTGTGGGAAATGAACACAGAGCGCACTATTCCTGCACCATGTTCTAGACTGCACTTATATGGATTTTTTTCCAAACTTCTAGTGTAAAATTCTATTCATCTTTGATGAACTCTTGACAGCTGGATTCCTTTAGAATGACATTCATCCAATGACTACAGGTGTTATCACATGGAGATAGATTTTCCTACATAGATCTAGCTGATAAAAGGCATCACCTACCTATGCTGGTAGTTCTCAAGCCTCAAATGGCTGATAACATAAAATAAGTTATTAAACATAAAAAGGTCAACAATTTCTGTACACATATGGTTACTGGAAATATATACTGTATAACAGTCTCCAAACTGTGGCCTGGGGGCCAGATGTGGCCCTTTGCTTGCTTTTATCTGGCCCTTGGGACATTATGCATAGTTCCTATCACTGACCCCAACAATGAGGCACTATTCCACCCTCTGACACCAATGATGGGCACTATTGCTCCCACTGACACCAATGATGGGGTGCTATTCCTCCTACCTATACCAAGGACGGGGTACTATTTCTCCCACTGAAACCAATGATGGGGCACTATTTCTCCCACTGATACTTGTAACAGCGTATACCCAGAGATGGACACGGTTCAAACATTATGGCTTCAACCTCCATCTTGGCAAAGGGGAGTTAACCATCCTGACAAACATATTTCTCCCTCATCCCCCCCCCCTCTCTAAGAGGCCCAGAGACCTTTGGCCAGTATGTGTGTGAGTTAGGAATGTCACAGAAGGGTCATAGGAGCTATAAAGCCCCCCAAGGGAGCTGGGGCCTAGCTGTCAGAAGAACCTGTAAAGTGTAACACCTCGTATAAGATAAGGCAAGCTTTCTCAGGAGTTGAAAGAGATTCCAACCTAATAAACCTAACTCAGCGTATGTGACAGAATCAGATAACCACTTTTCAAAATCCATTTTTCCCCTATGTCTCATATCTTGGAATATGAGAGACTTACATAAAAAACGGACATATTGTCAGATTGGCCACGAGAAGGCGAACAGTTTGGTAGGTCACTCGCATTGTCTCAAATACATAGAAAAGCCAAAATATAGATCTCGTGAACCGTTCAGTGTATAATTTCATAATTCATATCTAATCAATCCTCAGAAGTGTCTGCCTAATAATGTCACTTGTGCATAGGAATGTTATGGGCCAAAATATGAGTTATGGGAGATTTTGGCTCTAGTTGAGGTATCCGCCCATACCTACATGCTCTAAACGGGGTATTGGTCCTTGACTTCAGAGACACCCGCTGCTGGGGACTACAAAATAGGCTGTCAGACCTAAGAGTGGAGTTGAAGACGTCTCCCATTTTAACATCAGTACCACCTGGGGAGACCTGTGCCCTTTCGCTCTGAAACTTGGATCTGCTAACCAGGACTTTGGCAAGTACCTTAACCCTTTCACCTCTCTCTGATATCTCTTTGCTGTGCTGTTAGTCTCTGTATATTTATATATATATCTTAGTTACATCTTTTTCTGTAAATATTTTTATTGCACCCGTTTGACCTTTAGTAATAGATCTTTCCTTCTGAAAGTGTTGAACTGTTTCTATAACTTTGTATTGCAATTTACGAATTCCTGCCTCTAAAGAGAATGCTACTGTGTTTGTTTAACTCTGCATAATCGGCCTGCGGTGACCATATTATGCAGACGATTATCACAACCATTATAGTGTTTTAGCTGATATTGCCGAGTTTCCTCTTTCTCTGTACAAAAAGGAAGTGGTGGCAGTGTGAAGGGTTAATTGCGTAATTAACCTGACCCAGTAACAATCGCTCAGGCTGCCGGTACATCGATTGTGGTCCAATTAGCTGGAAAATCGTTGTGCAGCGTGCAGCTGGGTGTGGCATTATTACGCACGTGACACCGCGGTTTTAGATCGGCTAGTCCTTTGGTCACGAGTTTGGTGAGAAGGTCTGGGGTCTGATGCTGCGATCGTGACAATACCAATAATGGGGCACTATTACTCCCACTGACACCAGCGATGGAGCATTATTATGCCCATTGATACCAATGACGGGGCACTATTTCTCCCGCTAATACCAATAATGGGGCACTGTTCCTCCCACTGACACCAATGATGGGGCACTATTCTTCCCACTGATACCAATGATGGAGCAATTTTCCTCCCACTGATACCAATGATGGAGCACCATTCCTCTCACTGAATCCAATGATGGGGCACTATTCCTCCCACCGACACCAGAGATAGGGCACTATTTCTCCCACTGATACAAATGATGAGGCACTATTCCTCCCACTGACACCATTGATGGGACAATATTCCTATCAACTGACACCAAGATGGAACATTATACCTTCTATTGATACCAACAATAGGGCACTTTTACTCCCCTTAATACCAATAATGGAGCATTATTTACTTCCACTGACAGCCCTGACATTTTAAGGACAGTAAACTTTTAAACAAAAGTTTTGAGACCCCTGCTATATAAGAACAAAATCATAAAAGTAAAATCAGATTCCAATTTATTTTAGTTTTTTTTCTGAAACCCAGTTATTTGCCACTGCATGTGAAGGAATGGCTTTGGGATTTGTGAATATTTCCTCAAAGAATAGCCTTTTTTAATTAAAAAAATAAAAGTCTAAACTGTACAACCACTGAAAACCAAATGTTATTTTTTTTCAGAGGAAATTCAAATCATTTATAATTTGTTTCTTTTACATCTGATGTTATTAGTTGTCTGTGCTGCGGATAGGTCTTTGCATTCCAGACAATCAGATAACTGTGACTAGTCTCTGATCCAAGATCTCACTACTATGGCTGATTATATGTTCAATAAAATGCATAATGCAGAGCCTCTTTCTACTCCTGTTAGCATGAAAAATGCTCTGTGTAATAGAAGCTGACATCCAGCTGAAGGGTGATTAGTAGCAAGTTGATGCGTCTCTTCAGTCATGTCTCTTTCATTTATAGTGATGGTTCACATTTTTTTCTCTTATTTGCTAATGTACTAATAAGGCATATATGTATTTTGTTCTTTAAAGTGCCAATCCAGACAAGGGATGCCAATAAATAGTGCAATCCAGCAAACACTGCAGCTGTGCTAAAATCAACCCTAATATACCCTATTCTGAGCTCTGCGTAATGTTTCTGTCACAATTCACACAGCACTTTGTATTTTCACTGGAAGGATATTTTCCTGAAATGTCTGCTGTATAACTTCCTCTTTGCTTTCTGGATCATCAATCACATTCAACTTCCAAGGCTGGAATCTGATTGGTTGATTTGAGACAAATCTTATCATTAACATTTTTTTTTACATCAGACTAGACTTGAGTCACAGCAAGGATCCCTTTCTCTGAGAGTCTGGGAACTCCTCTCCTGCCTGACATGCAGGGGTTCCCAAATAACTGGCATTCACTATTTATAAAGTTTATTAAAATACAAATACAAGTTAAGATCAGATCATATATTTCTAGCTCCATTCCAAAGTGGATTTCATTGCAGCCCAACCTAGGGCAATAAATATAACAGTTTCTGTCCAACCCGCACCAGAAAATATGTTTTTGTTTTTTTTTAATAAATAATAAACCCAAAAATGTATCTGTATCTGCTTTCACATGACCCTCAGCAATAACCAGAAGCTGCAGGCCAAGCCCACCATCAAGTCATGTTATGGACTCTTCTGGCAACCGCTAGGCAGAGTCCACATTGGAAGTCATGTGGGCACTAC